GTGGCTCACCTGACAGATGCCGCTGATGCACATGTCCAGGGAGTCGGTGTGGCAACGCGTCCCATCCAGGACCTTGGGCGCCAGCTCCACCACCAGATTTTGTCCCCGGGCGTGACACTTGAGCGCGCAGGGGGCGGCCGGATCATTATACCGTGGGAGCCACTCGTAGTACCGCCCCTGATACTGGACGTCATTGTAGGCGGAGCACTGCTGGGCTCTGAAGTCCTCTGCATCCGGAGGGCAGTCCTGGGGACAGAGGACAAGGGCCACACGCAGGTCACCCAGTGAGAGGAGCGCCCCCCACGGGGAGCTGGGCAGGTTCTCCAGAGTCCCAGGAGGCCGGGCCCCACCTGCCTCTCTCCTGGGAGTGACCTCATCTCTTCTAAACATTCAAAACTGGCCCGGCCGGCGTGGCTCAGTGGTTGAACATCAACCCATGAACCAAGAGGTCGCAGTTCGATTCCCAGTCAGGGCACATGCCCGGGGTGCAGGCTCCTCGACCCCCAGCAGGGGGCGAGCAGGAGGCAGCCGATCCGTGACTCTCATCATTGATGTTTCTCTCTCTCTCCCCCTCTCTCTGAAATCAATAAATTTAGAAGAAAAAATTTCTCGTGTGTTTCTTGAGTGACCTGTAGCTCTCCTTAACAGTGGGCAGGACAGGTGCTGGAAGCAGGATGGACGGAGTTCACCTTTAAAGAATAGTTTCACCTCCCTGAGCCCCAGCACCCTCATTTGCGAAAGAGACACACCCACACCTCGAGTGCCTCCGAGGGCCACTGAGATGCTGCACAGAAAAGCCCCCTGAACCCCGAAAGGCGTTTTCAGGAATTAGGTATCGTTTCTCTGAATTCAGAAATTATGAAACGCTTCCCAAATTAGATCATAAATGTAACACGGGCCTAAAAGGTTGGTAGCATGAATCGAAGGTATGAGATACAGAAAACCTCTTGTCGATTAAACAATTATTCGAAATTTCCACAAAGGTACCGAGAGACCGCGAGCTTTACAAAAAAAAAAAGTCCCCATGACAGTGTTATAACTGAAACCATGATTCTGTCTTACTAGATTATATATTTTTTATTCCAGAACTTACATGATTGCTGCACGTCTTGTATCGAATATTCTGCCCTTCGCAATTCCTAACGGAAAAAAAAAGGAAACAGTGATTTCATGGAAGCGGCAAGCAGCTAAAAAAAAAAAAAAAAAAAAAAAAA